AAAATACGAAAGCAGTATTGGGACTGAAATGAAAGTTTTTAAGAAAATTAAAATAAAAAATAATATTAGAAAACTTAAAAAACTCGTAGTTTAAAAGAAACGACTTCATCTTGAATGAAAGAACAAAAGTCGCTGCGAAGTACTGAGACGATAAATTTTCATGTTCATGAAGCTTTGACGTTACTTAGGCTAAAACCATGCAGAAGTTCTTCACATTGATTTTAACTTTTAAGAACCATTTTATGTCGATTTTTGAAAGTCAAACAGTTTATGTAAAAACATTTGGGCCTTCTACCCTTAAGTCTGTATATGTTAAAATTATTTCTCTTTGAGCTCTGCTCTTTTAATATTATTTGGTCTCTTTTAGCCCTACCCATGAAAAATATTTGATGTATTACGTCTGTCCATGTAAAAATATTTTCTTCCTTTTAGCCCTGCTCATATTACAATATTTGGTCATGTTTAGCCCTGCTCATTTAAATATATTTGAACCATTTGCCTCTTAAGTCTATACATTTAAAAATATTTTGTCTTTTCATCCTTTACGCCTGTCCATGTAATAATATTTGGCCCGTTCGGATCTTAAGATGCGTTTATATCTGAGACCACTTTCACAACATAAATATTGAGTATCGGACACAAACTGGCACTGACTATTTACATTATGAAATAAATTTCTCGATATTAATATCACTGACATATTATGTAGCGTGATAAATAAACATTGCTTTTGAGAAATAAATATATAACTCATTTACATTACTTCTGCCACATATTTCATGATGAAAGTTGCAGCTGCTGTGGTTTTTTTTTTTAAATATATTCAAATTTAAAATTTACTGGATATTTGATTCTCCTCAAGCAAATTTCTTTTTCCTAATTTTTTAATTTTTGAAAAAGATGATTTTTAATGATATGAAATTAAACATATTTCTTCGTGTTCGGTTAATTTTGCTATTGAGTATAAATAGAGAGAAACAGAAAAAGAAAAAACTTTTTGTATGGGTTTGGGAGTGGATTTTGGGACGTTAAGAACGTAGTACTTATAAACAGCTAATAAGAATAAAAAGATCTACCAGGACCAAAAGTTTTCTTTTTTAAGAAATGCCCCAAGTAAAGAAGCATTTACACTTATTACAATCTGATATTTCTAACCTAACTTATCTAAGGAAGGAAAACTTCCTAAACTAAGATTCTACTCTCTAGTGTATCTTAGAGTCTAATTATTTAGTTAGACTAGCGTTAATGTATAACACTGAACCGCAGGACCAATAGTGAATTTGTAATTATGTTGTAGGAAGACATGTGCTCTTTTTTACCTACCGAAAGATGTTTTTGTAAATAACTTCTGAATTTTATATTTGCTTGATTGTAAAGTTCGCAAATACATTGCTTTTTGTACGACTCTTCTAGTAGCGTTCAATGCAAATTTAACCATACCAGAATTCAGGGTGGTGATGATAAATAATAATTAATTATTCAACGTCACTCATCACCATTCCTTTTTATGCAAGACATAATATGCGACACTAATCACAAAAGTATACGACTATTCAACTTTTACAATTTCTGTCGGAGAGGTAGGAACGTATAGGTAATAAATGTGTACATTCGTTCTAAAATAAGTGTCGATACATATTGTCCAACACTTATACATATGTCTCTGACATAAATTTTTGTGTGTTTACACTGGACTAAACAACTGTCAGACGTAAATCTCATGAAATAAATGTTAGATGTAAACGTAGCTTTAGGCTTGTCAATGCTAAAATATTTGGTCACCGTCATGACTATTTTTTTAAATTTATATGAGTGACAATTTTGTTAAACTAATAATTGTAAGTATATTTTTTAGTTATTGTTATCAAGTGTACGTAAAAATGAGTAACTCTTGTGAAGAATTGATAAATAATAAAATTTCTATATTTACAAAAAAATCCTAAATTTTAATAAAACCATATGAAATTAATTTAATTGTGAGTATTAAAAATATAAAGTTTTTTTCATTTTATTTTATTTTATAAATTAATAAAGATCATAAATAATTTTTAAATTATTCATCTTATTGTCTGTCCTAAACAACTGTTTTTAATTTGTTGATTTTCGATGGAGGGTCGTAGAAAAAATATATTGTAACACTCGAGTGGTTTATCCGTGTTGTACTCAGATATAGCCATCTTATTCACTCTTGTTGCAAGAACTACTATCATTAACAAGACACTATAATAAAATTATTTTCTAACACTAGTTATGATAAAATTATGCAGACGCGGCAAGTCCAAGATAAGGTCCAACCGAGATCTAGCGGCAACAAAACTAATTCGTTACCGGCATTTTCTAGCTTTTTCATTTCATTACAACTGTAAAGATATAAAAATAAAGTTCCGGTTTTTGTAAAGTTTTGTAATATTTTAAAAAGAACAATTCTTTAAACAAAAACTTTTCCTGTTCTAGTTAAATTGAGTTTCTAAAAAAGAACCTCAATTCTGCTTCAATTGCTTTTTCTAAAAAAAAAAAAAAAAAAAAAAAAAAAAAAAAAAAAAAAAAAAGTCCTCAAGCAAAAACTTTTCCCTCCCTTCCTCCCCTACTTCAAAAAAAATCAGTTGACGAGCCCCCTTTATACCGCTGCCGGGCCCCCATTTGAGTCCGGGCCCCGGGAATTAGTCCCGGCTACCCCCCCCTCTAGTCGGCCCTGGTTGTCCACGGCAGTTAAGTCGTGAAGTCTCCTATTACGTCTCGAATGAGTTAGGCAGCAGTCTCACTTAATCGTTTACGTGCATGCACGTTCGTTAACGTTTCTATTGGGTGTCGTTAAAAAAACGGTAACGGTCTCACTTCGTTAGCGTATTTCTTCTAGAATGACGTTGACTTAAGACATCTATCACAGAGAATGAAGAATATTATAACCTTTTTGTTCTCTTGTTTATTTAATTATATTTATTATGTTTATGGAGGATTGAGGGTACTGTATAATAGTGTATAATTTATTATGGATTCTCGCAGTAGTTCTGAGGAGGAAATGATTTATTTTTATTTAAGACGCAAACGCAAAATAAATAAAAGGAGGATGTGGGTTAGATAAATTTTTTTACACAGAGAACAATTAGGAGAGTATCATCATGTAGTGCCACAACTGTTAAATGACGAGGAAAAATTTTATGGTTATTTTCGCATGAATTTAAACTCCTGGAATAAATTGGTTTTAAAATTAAAACCATTAATTTTCATTGGAGAAACTTATTTTCGAAAGTCGATTTGTTTTGAGGAAAGGTTAACCATTACAATTAGGTATGTTTAAATAACAATATTTATTTTTAAGTAATAATGTTTGGATTTGCAGGTATCTAGCAACTGGAGAATCCTTTCATTCTTCTTCATATCGTTTTCGAGTGAGTCACAATCACATCAGCGTTATTGTAAATCAAATGTTGAGTGTTATTCATACTGGTTTATCTACGGATTATTTGAAGTTTCCAACAAGAGAAGAATTTTTGGCAATATCCCAAGGATTTGCAATAAGGAAGAATTTTCCAAATTGCTTAGGAACCATGGATGGCAAGCATGTCCGCATTACAAAACCTTATCAGCAAGGTTCAAACTTTTATAATTATAAATTATACCACTCCATAGTTCTACTTGCTGTTGTGGATGCCAGTTATTGTTTCACAATAGTAGATGTTGGAAGCTACGGCAAGAATAGTGATGGTGGGGTATTTAATAATTCAACATTCGGTCAATTATTAAACAGTAATCAGCTAGATTTACCTGCCAATGAGCCCTTACCAAATACTTTTGAAAATGATTTGATGCCTTTTGTGTTTGTAGCAGATGAGGCATTTAAACTAAGTGAACATATAATGAAGCCCTATCCACGAAGAGACCTTGATAGAAGGAAGAGAATATACAACAACAGGCTGTCACGAGCTCGACAGCAAATTGAATGTTCTTTTGGTATTTTGGCAGCAAAATTTCGAATATTCCGCACCGAAATTGCAGTTTTTCCAGAGAAAGTCGACAAAATTATCAATGCAGGAGTGGTTTTGCACAACTACATTCGAAGAGAAGAAAAGTGTAACAGCATTGAAATTGAAGAATGTGGAGCTTTTTCGTCTTTTAGTACTACAGAGGAAATGTTTGAACCTCGAAGTATTAATCAGTCTTCAAGGTTAGCTAGAGGTATTCGTGATAAATTTGCAGACTATTTTTATAATGCAGGTGCAGTAGACTTTCAAGAAGATAATATTTAATTGCAATTTATAATAAAATAAAAATAAATTAGTCCTAGAAAATATTTTTCTCTTAGAGAAAGTTTTATCCTACATTGTCCTAAGATCTACAGAAAATTGGTAATCCTAATACTTCTTGATAGTCTACATCCTATATTTGTATCTACAAAAAAGAGTATAGAGAATTGCAAAATAAGTATACGTATGTCCCTGTAAGTTGAAACCATATGGAAAACTTTTATTTTTAATTTTAGGCAAAAAAGTTATTCTTTATATATAGTTCTGCATGGTCTAAAACCTAAAATTCTACCACCAGATATCAAATTTTTTCCGTTGTATACGAAGTTTGTCAAAGAACATGAATTTTGCTCAAGAGTAAAGGACCTTATACCTATAACAATTTTTGACACTGTCGAAAATAAAGGTACTTCTCTGGAGAAAAATTCATATTTTTTGACAAACCTCGTATATGACAAAAAAAATCGATATCTGACATTTGCATTTTAGTTTTTAGACCACGCAGAACTTTTTATATGAAAAATATTGGTTTCCCTAAATTAATAACAAAAAAGTTTTCCATATGGTTCCACTTAGAGAGACATACTGTATAAGTACACATCAACTTTGGGTATAGCTATCTTTAAGTCTAACGAAAGTATATCACAACAATGTTCAAAAGTCGATAGAAAAATTCAAATTATTTGACTTGGATGATATTATGCCAATTGTTTGAAGTTAACTAAATAAAAACAAACATTAAAAGTAAAGATTTATTTATGTACTTTCATTTTCTAAAATTCCATTAATTATGGTTAAAACTTTTAGCTTATACCGCCTCAACTGTGGTTCTGAAAATTTCGCCAGGTCTTCTTCCAAACTTTCATGGAATAAGCGAACTGAAGGAATTTTCTGGCCATTTTGTTTTTCGAATTTACTTTTAAAATAAACTTTCATCGTTTCTTCCAGGTCCTGGGAACTTTCTTTTTTTCTTTTGGCACTATTTGTTGAACCTGACCTGGATGCACGGCTTGGTGTGCGTGTGGAAGTTTGCGACCTCACAATCTCATCTTGCATATCACAATTCTCCAATGCGTTCTCACTATGGGAATTCTCTATCTCATATTGGGATTCCTCTATCTCATATTGGTATTCCTGTAATTCTCCCTCTACTTCTAAAATTATGTCCTCTTCATTGTCTGAGACATGTACCTCGGTGTGAATAGCCATAGTTGGAGCATTACTACTTGTTTCCCTTTGGGCTAGAAATGGCTCTAAAAAAGTTAGACTTTCAAAATAGACCCACCGCCTTTGAGAAGCCGCTGAACCAGATGGTAAATGGTAGTCCTTCCTTCTTTGCCTATATGTCCCTCGCAATGTTTGGCACTTTCCCTTAAGTTGCCTTACTGTAATTACAATACATACAGAATTAAAAAATATTTTTACGTGGATCCAACATTTAGTATATTTTTGAGCAATTAGTTCTTTCAATTTCATTCAAACGGATTACATTTACAAAGCTAAAGGTGTTTTAGAATGTGCAATGTGTGATTTCAGTTTGGAACATGACTGGTTAAAAATATAAGAAACAATAAAAAAAGGTTTACTGTTATATTTTAATAAACTCTTCATCAAATATTGCACTATGACAAAGTACTTTCGACGCTTAACAATATTTATATTGTAATAATTATATACTCACCATTTTTATCTACAAAATATTCTCCAATTTCTCGCCAATGTTTATCAATAACATTTATATTGGAATGCCCTGGGCGCGATTGGTCATATATCTCTGGTCTTTCTTGTACAAGTACAATGGTCAATTTCTTCGCTTGACCATTTTATATTTGCCATTATCAACACATGGAGCAAGTTAAATATCAAAGATTTCAGCCAATTTAAATTTTATATCAAAATATAAACAAAACGTTAACCTCAAAAACGACATACCACTTGTTTCTCTTTAGTGCGCATGTGCGCAAACACAAACGCGTTCATTTGCCATCGTGCATCGTCAAAATTTCAAACATGTTTGAAATTTCAAACGTGACGACGGTAAATGACGTTCTTCATCGCTTGACATCGCTTGAAGTGAGACCACCCGCGTATAACTAGTTGTGTTTGAAATTTACACGATCGCTCACGAACGGTCAGGAACGATAAGTGAGACTGCTGCCTTACTGGCTAAAAGATAGTCTGTTCTACTATGGGACTAGCTTTTAACAATTTAAGACGTAGGCTGATTGGGATGGCAGTAGGATTCTCAAATGGTGGCAAAATAAGGAGCCTTAAGAGTTTTGAAGATTAAGTACGGTGATAGGAGAAAATTAAAAACATTTTTGTTTTTCAAATAATATTTTCAAATACATAATAATTATTCTCTTTAAAGCAAAAGTTTTAACGGTTCTATTTCCGCCCGTCGGCATCACAGGAATTTCCCACAATTATTCGCTATACAGACCGTGGCGTTAAAACGTAACGAACTGCTCGTAGGTATTTACACTTCAATTTTCATTTTGTTTTTTAATTGCGTTCATAATCTCTTTTATGATCGGCAATTTCAATTCCAGAAGGTTTAATTGTTTAGCCTTTCAGTGAAAATGGCTGTTCCTCGAAAGTTAAACGAAATTAGTAAGTGGTCGGGAAATAATGTACTTTTGTAGGGAAGGGAAGGGAGGAGATGGTCTACCGGAACTTCTGAATAATTTCGCTCAGCCGAAAAGGAAGATAATAACTCCGATAAGTAGGCACTTCGCAAATTGTCATAAGTTGTTTTTGAGTTCCTTTTTGAGATGATCGCTTTAATTTTACTCAAGTAATGGGTTTTTTGTTCCTTGGGGAACCGTTTTCATTAAATACTGCTGCATACTGAATTACTAAATTATAATAGAAACTCAATTTTTGTGAAATTTGGTTTGTCAGTTATCCATACAAAGCATATAATTTTTATAATAATTAATAGTATACTAAACAAGATTACATTTGTACAGTTGTATTTACTTTTTGATACAAATTAAAAAATATTTTTTTCCAAATTTAAAATAAAGTGACATTGTTTGTGATCGCAGAAAGTGTCGAAATGATCTACTATCCAATTTTAATTAGTTTTTATAATTAATAAAATTAAAATGACAGCTCTCTTCTAAATAACCATTTAATGTTTGTCAGTTCATGGTATACATAATTTTATTAAAATAGTTAGGAAATAACTACTTTGTGCTATCAGATGAGTAATTGATACGAAATATAATTCTCATATTGGGAAATGTACCTCATTTCTTGATACACTATAGTTGAAAAAGTGTATTTTGTTTTGAAAAGATAGAAAAAACTTTTCGTTTGTAGCTCGCTGAAAATAACCAAATTAAAAATAAGCTTTAAATTTTAATAAATTTTAATAAATTTTAATAAATTTTAATAAATTTTAATAAATTTTAATAAATTTTAATAAATTTTAATAAATTTTAATAAATTTTAATAAATTTTAATAAATTTTAATAAATTTTAATAAATTTTAATAAATTTTAATAAATTTTAATAAATTTTAATAAATTTTAATAAATTTTAATAAATTTTAATAAATTTTAATAAATTTTAATAAATTTTAATAAATTTTAATAAATTTTAATAAATTTTAATAAATTTTAATAAATTTTAATAAATTTTAATAAATTTTAATAAATTTTAATAAATTTTAATAAATTTTAATAAATTTTAATAAATTTTAATAAATTTTAATAAATTTTAATAAATTTTAATAAATTTTAATAAATTTTAATAAATTTTAATAAATTTTAATAAATTTTAATAAATTTTAATAAATTTTAATAAATTTTAATAAATTTTAATAAATTTTAATAAATTTTAATAAATTTTAATAAATTTTAATAAATTTTAATAAATTTTAATAAATTTTAATAAATTTTAATAAATTTTAATAAATTTTAATAAATTTTAATAAATTTTAATAAATTTTAATAAATTTTAATAAATTTTAATAAAATTTAATAAATTTTAATAAATTTTAATAAATTTTAATAAATTTTAATAAATTTTAATAAATTTTAATAAATTTTAATAAATTTTAATAAATTTTAATAAATTTTAATAAATTTTAATAAATTTTAATAAATTTTAATAAATTTTAATAAATTTTAATAAATTTTAATAAATTTTAATAAATTTTAATAAATTTTAATAAATTTTAATAAATTTTAATAAATTTTAATAAATTTTAATAAATTTTAATAAATTTTAATAAATTTTAATAAATTTTAATAAATTTTAATAAATTTTAATAAATTTTAATAAATTTTAATAAATTTTAATAAATTTTAATAAATTTTAATAAATTTTAATAAATTTTAATAAATTTTAATAAATTTTAATAAATTTTAATAAATTTTAATAAATTTTAATAAATTTTAATAAATTTTAATAAATTTTAATAAATTTTAATAAATTTTAATAAATTTTAATAAATTTTAATAAATTTTAATAAATTTATATAAATTTTATTAAATATTTATTATATGTTAATACCAATGAAGAACAACTACTAATTTTGTTTACAAAAATCAAAGTGCAAACATTCACGGTGATATCCACGTAGTTATCAAATTATTCTGAGAGAGTATGGGATAGTTTTGTTTCAAGGAATGTTTATGGTTATAGTTTGATATTGACTTAACATAAGGCTCTATAATGAAATATACTCCAAAAACATGTAACAATATTCCGATGCCAGTCAACCACTGCATACATGTAACAATATTTTACTTTACCAAACGGCACCTATGCAAATAATTATCCTGAGCAAAGTGGTTTAAAAAAATTATTTTATATTCAAAAATCACATAAGACATAACAGCGACAATTTTGTTTGCCCTAAAAAATTACAATCCTAATTCAATGTAAACCTAGCTTTGAAACCTGAATTATTATGTTTACCTACATTTTAAAGCATGTTTGTGTGTGGATAAACCATTTGCACAGATAGTCAATAATAATTATAAACTCTTGTTAGATAATTGTTTTAGGGCCAGTCTCTTCAACTCTGAATAAAGTTAAAAGTAACTACTTGCTGATTAAACTATAGGGCTAATATTTTGTGACAGGCTTCTGGTTCACCTACAGTGAATCAGCGAGTCTGTGTGGCGCTATGAAGGTGATTCCCGAATAGGGGTTGCTCATGCGCCAGTTTTGGTATCGCAGTTTGCTCTGCGACCCTGTGGAACAACAGAGTGTACTCAAGGTGAACTCAGTGGAGGTAAATAATTCCAGGAGGTCACTGCTAGGTAGCCACTATACTAAAATAAATAAAAATAAAACACTTATCTCCTTTACACCTCGTACCCTACGGTACCCTGAAAGAGAACGGTTAAGAACCAGTAATAAGAGAATACACAGGAGTAGGTAATAAAATATATATTTACAAAAAAATAATACACCGGTAATTAAATATGAACGGCTCCCTATATGCGGAAAACTTATTCAAAATAAATTATTACCAATGAAAACTAATTAAATATTAACGGCTCCCTATATGCGGAAAATTTATTAAAAATAATTTATTACCAATGAAAACTAATTAAATATTAACGGTTTAAAGTCTCTCTCATGTAGACATCTGGTAGTCCATAGCTTCTACAACAGAGAAACCCGTTCCACGAGCTGAAACAGCTCTGATTATCGACGGGGGAAGCAAGCGAATACCGCTATCACCCCCTGATTAACGCGAAAATGGATGAAATGTGCGAGTGCCCCCGGATTTAAATCCAATTTACTTTATTACCTTGTTAGGTACTAAGGAAATTAAAAGTTCGTGTTACCTTTTACTAGTACGGAAAAATATTTACGGTTCGCTAGCACAGGAGGCCAAGCGGTCCGGGAATTATGAAACTCCCCATATACGGAAAATTTATTAAAAATAAATTAATACACTCGAAAACAATTTAAATATGACGGTAATCAAATGCAAACAAATAAATGAAATCAAAGTTTTCGGAACGCCCCTGTATCTTAGACCAGACGAATCGACGCTCTGGCAATTATTGAACGAGAATGATAATTTTCAGCGCGGTGTTTGGGACAAAAATGCGATGGTTAACGTAAAAATTATTTTGAGATTTGCCCAGAGTCGATCGAGAGCGTGTTTGAATTTAATTTTACAGAAAACGTCGGGCTTCGTTCAATAATTAATTGTTGATGGGAAACGGAATGATTCAAATATAATTGAATGAATAAATAAATGAAAAGAGAAACGTACATGAAAAATACTGGGTGCTTCTTATAAAAAAAAATTGCTAACGGTTTCCCACTAAGAGATGAAATGAAAAATGCTGGGCATGAATCAAAATTATTTCACTTGTCGGACGGGTGTCCCAAACTAATTGTAAATAAAAAAATAATTTGCGGTTTCCTACCTTTAGAAAAATAAACGGGGTTGTTCAATGATATTTTTCAAAATCACGGCACTCACGGAGTATTTACTA